CCGACAAAACCCTTCGATATCGTTGGATTCGGAGCACTTTTCTTTCGGTGGGGATTTGAGATTTTCATCTCAAATTGAGGTAGGGGGTGTTATAGGTTATTATTCTTGTTATATTACATGCTAGTGATGTTTATGCAACTTATTTACATGCTTTGGTAACAAATCTAGAGATTTTATTATTTATTTTTCTTGTGAAGGATTTGATTTTCCCGATTGACTATAGCTTTGTTTAAACATGTGGCATGAAATTATATTACCCCTTGATATGGTCATTGACATATATTAAATTGAGAATTTTTGGACAAGTAATGAAGATTTTATTTAATATTTTTCTTGAGTAAATATTTAATTCATGTGGCCTTATCTAGCTTGAAATCAATATGTGTTAGCATATTATGTTAGGCTTTAATACACTCTTCAACATATGTGAAATTGAAAGTAATCGGAGATGTTTTGAAATCTAGTAATTATTAATTAATTTGCTCCAAGTGCACTATTCATTTCTTTGAAATTCCGACTTGATATTCTTGATATGCATGTCATATACTTTCACATATACTAAATCTAGAATATTTGATTAGATTTTGAAACCTTTCATTTAATTAATTTCTTTGTTTGAGATTTAATCCTCATGATGATATACAACTTGGAATTAAAGTGTGACATGCTAGTAATTTAGGCCTTGGTATACTTGTTACCATATATTAAATTGGAATAATTTGAATGAGAATTGCAACTTTTATTTAATATTTATCTTTGGTGAAAGTTAAATTTACATAGATGTAACTTGCATGAAATAAGTTTGTAATGTGATATTACAATAGGCCTTGGCATGTTCTCTGACATATGTTAATTTGAGAACCTTTAGATGAGTTTGAAAATCTAGAGATTTTAATTAAAATGATTAATTAAAATCTATTTAATGGTTCCCTTGGCTTAATTAAGTTTTTAACTTGATATTTGCAATGACCATGACTTGTTTACTAGTATATAGTAATTTGGAACCATTTGAAGTTGCTTTAGAACCTTGGGATTTAAATTAGTATGATTTAATTAAAATTTCACTTTATTGCTCCAACAACCTAATTGAGTTTTAGAATGGATATAAGTGATGACCATGCTATATCCTTTAGTATGTATTAATTTGAGGTTATTTGGAATTGAATTGGAATCTAGAGAATTTAATTGTGTTTATTTAATTAAATTCTATCTAGTTGCTCCATGGATTTAATTACGTCTTGGAAGTTGTTTCTATGTTTAAATCATGGACTTGGACTTGTTGTGTATTCACTTAGCTACATTTGAGCATTTGATAACATTGTTGTTATATTTAAATTCATGAGCTTATGTTTTCAATGTTGAAAGATATTGTTATAGCGTGTAACGAATCACACACTGAAGATTCGACATTTGTCATGCCATAGTAGTTGTGGACTTAGTACATGTATTGTATGTGTTTCCAAATTTGGTTGTGCTTAGTAGATAGTTGATATCTTGTATATACATGTTGATATATACGTTGTTGCACAACTTGTTGATTTTGGAAACTTGGGGATGTCGTTGTTTGGTTACGGCTAGGACTTGGTTTTAGTACGGGGGATTGTCCCTCTATATAGTCTAGTGCGCACATAGGGAAGTTACCCGTAGGCTAGTAACCCTAGCGTAACTATGGTGTCGGTCTGATCGAGCGTGACGTCAAAGTATCCACTTTGGTTGATTTCGCATTTCTTTTCAAGTTGATAACTAGATGATATCGTAACTTGTTGTTCTTTGTTTGATTTACCATTTTAAGTTGCAAATGTTAACTTTGAGAAATCATGTTTTATGCATTGTATTGGAAGTTCCAATGTTGGTTAAATTGTATCGATATCATGATTTGTATTTTGATGTTCAAATGTAATTTAGGAATGATCCTATAGATTCATTTTGAATATAGACGTTAGGTGGTATGACCCACTTTTGTTATTTTCGTATTTTAGGTTTCAAGTTGATGACTTTGAGAATCTATATCTTGTTACTTTGTATAACATGTTTCTATATTGTTGAAATGTATGAATGATGTGATTTATGCTAGAAACACTCTAAGGTAGCTTAGGATGCTTCCTGAGTCTCATTTTGATATAGACGTTAGCTGGCATGAACCTTTAACATGTTTCACCATAAGGTGATAAAATTGTAAAATGCTAGCTCGATGCATGCTCATCTCCTACGAGTAGCTTTATGTTACTTACCCACGTAGTGGGGACATTTTTCAGGTACAGGAATCAATGTTGAGATTCTCATTATGCTTAGATGATTTGTGGACTTGAAGATTTCCATTCTTGTGAAGTTAGCTTGGAATGCCATTTGTAGCTATTTTGTCAAATGTGTATATTTGATTCCAAACTTGTATTATGTGCTTAAGCACATTTTTTGGTATTCATTCTATATATATGATACATGGCCAAGGGCCAAAATTCATTTGTAATCCATGTATATTGAAAAATGTTGAATTTTGCCTTTAATGAGAAAAGTATGAAAACTAGGGTTTTGGTATGTCATTCTCGCACCGGTGTGTGCATTTTGTGTGAAATTCATCCTTTACCATTCATTTACCATATGTGAGGTGTGGCCAAGGGCCAAACACCATTTAGTTTTCATTTTTGCATTTTAGTTCATATATTGCATTTTTTGGGCTAAAATAGTATAAACCGAGCCTTTAAGGGTTCATTTTAAAATCGGGTGGTGTAAAGTGTGTTCCGACACTCCACTAGGTCTCATTTATCTTGTATGAAGTGTGGCCAAGGGCCAAACGGTCATTTGAAACCATTTTCTAATTTTGGTTTCCATATTTTCCATTTCAAGTTCATTTTTGCCTTTTTGGCCGTTGGGGGGTCGGATTTTGACTCGGCCATTTCCGGGAGCCGTAAACCATTCCCGCACTCTCAAAATCACCATTTACGTCTGCGTGCATGATCGTTTCCGGGAAAAACCCTTTCCTTTGTGATTTGAGCCTCCTATGGAATCATTTTTTAATCTTCTTGCATAATTTGATTTCAGGAAATTCTGGGCTTTTCCTTCGGGAAATAAATTTCTATCTTTACATGGTCACTTAGAAAACGTGATTTTAGGGGGGGGTTTCTTCTTTGTGTTTTTACAGAAAATGTCGTCTTGGTACCGGAAATCCCTCGTGAAGTTTCAGCTTTCAGTTTTCATTTTAGCAGCTTTTTAGCTCTCTTGACCAGATTTCTTGGGAGGGCATTTTGGCCATTTTGTAGCGAGTTTTTTTTTCATTTTCTCTCTTGTGGCTGGGTAGAAAATTTGATTTCGGGAGGGGTTTCTTCTTTGTGTTTTTCCAGAAAAATTCGTTTGGTAGCCCATTTTCAATCTCAGATCCTGTAGCAACTTTTTGCCCTCATTTCCAGTTCTAATCTAGGGGCATTTTGGGGATTTTATAGTGAGTTTTTTCCGTTTCCTTCCACGTGGTCGGGTAGAAAATTCAATTTTAAGGGAAGTTCCTTCTTCGTGTTTTTCCAGAAAAATTCGTTTCGGACCTCGTTTCGGCTCTCAGTTCTGGCTGAATTTTTCTCTTTCCTAGCATGTCATGGTGCATGCCATTGGACACCAAATGGGGCGCCGACATGGGCCCCAAGCGCGCATGGGGCATGCCATGGCCTTCGTTGGGCCGCCATGACGTCACAACTTCAAACACTCGTTTCTCCCTCGTCCGGATTCCCAATCGAGTGAACATTTTTTTATACTTGACTAATTTTTCGCTGTCTTTCCAACGGTGTGCTCGGTTACACCCGATTCTTCCTGGATAATTACCAGTTTACCCTTTTAGCCTTGAGTGCTCGTTTTTCTTCGTCATGTCGTTTCTCCTTTGTCCGGATTCCGAATTATGCGATTCTTGAGTCCATCTTGATTATTTTTTTGTTGTCTTTCCAGCGGCGTGCTCGGTGGAACTTGAAACCACAGTTTTCAGAAATGACTATTTTGCCCCTTGGGGCTTATTTGTTATATTTATGATCTTTTACTTCTGCGTCAGTTTTCTTTGAGTTCCGTGACCTCATGGAAGGTCATCTTAGGGTCTTAGAGGTATGTTGTGCCTTGGGAGACCATTTTCTTGTTTCTTGCTTCTGCATCGGGATCCGTTACCGTGTCAACTTTCGGGTCACCATTGACGCACCGGGTTGAATAAAACATGGGTCGTTACATTTGTTTTGAATAACCATTCTCTTTTACACTTTTTAGACCCATTATGCAATCACTATGAAAGAGTGACAGTGGATGGACGGATAGGTAAAAGACAAGTCATCTCTATTTTTTCAGTTGTTAAATACGATGTCTTTATCATTCCTAGTGAGTAGGGAGTAGTATGCTCACTTTTAATTGTAGCTGTTGGATTTAATCCAACGAATGTCCTTTATTTGTAATAATTTGGGAAACACTTAAATCTTTTTATTACCATTAAATATAATTAGAATGAAAAGACAAAAGGGTACAATTTTAGTGAAGGAAATAAAATCTATCTATAGTATTAGTTAGTATGCCCTATTTCATTTTTTCCCCTCGTGTTTATGATTTTCAGAGTCTAAATCAAGAAGAACAATTTGGAGACTGATTTTTCTTAGACCGACTTAATGCATATTGTTTTCTTATATACTCCTTTCAGTTTTAATAGATTGTGGAATCAGTAGTTACGTGCATCTATGTAAAAATTTTGATCTTTATTCTGTATGTTTGTAAGGATGGTTCTATGTAAGAGCAATGCTTGGATCCTGCCCTATCAGGACAACTTGTGTCCTTCATCTTGATGTGGCCCTGGATCAAATTAGTTACCAGGGTAGAATCCATAAGAGAAACCTATTTTCTCTCTCCTTCAGTCCTTCACTCTCTCTTCTTCGCTACCCTTGTGTTATCAATACACGTTGCTTGGTAGAATAGAGGGTCAAAAACTTTTACTTTTAAGGCCAAAAAGATAAAAATTAATGGAAACCCACCGGCACCATTCTGTTCAGAGTCAACTCGGTGATCGGATATGCCCTGATGCTGGCAATCATGTCGTTCAACGGCAGCGTCTTCATCACCGTCGTGGCCGGACTCTCCGTCGGGTACTTGGTGTTCAAGAGTAGCAATGCAGATGTGGTGGTTGTTGACAATCCCTGTGCTTGTGCTTGAAAATAGACACATTTTTATTTCAATTTACATATCTTTGTCGGTGATCTATCTCTTGTCGTTTAATTGGATCTGTTTATCTCGAATGACCCAGTTTGATTTTCTCCAATAATTTTATTTCTCTCTCTATATATGTGTTGTCACAAGATATGTAAAATATGGGGATTTGAATTAAACTGTTTGTTTTTCTTTATGTTCTTATGAGTACAACAGCCTTTGACTGGGAAGAAGAACCAATCAACATGAAAGAGAAAAAAAAGGGGCCAGTGGGTTTCCATTAATTTTTATCTTTTTGGCCTGAAAAGTAAAAGTTTTTGACCTTCTGTTCTACCAAGCAACATGTATTGATGATGTGAGGGTAGCAAAAAAGAGAGAGGAATGACTAAAAAAGAGAGAAAATGGGTTTCTCTCATGGATTCTACCGGGTAACCAATTTGATTCAGTGTGACCCATTTTTTATTTTTATGGATAGGTGTCAAGTTTTCATAGGGCCACATCAGGATGGAGGACACAAATTGTCCTGATAGGGCAGGATCCAAGCATTGCTCTCTATGTCATGGTTTCTTTGTTTATCAAGAAAATAAAAAAGAGCTTTGAGCCATAACTATCTAATTGTTTTGTTTGGAGGATGAACTAGTGGCTTCCCATCAATTGTGATTTTCTTAAATTTTATATTTTCAATCAATTATGATTTTTCCGATCAACTGTGTTCATGATCAATCGTGTTTTGTAGGGCAAAGCTCTTTTATGATAAGGAACTGTGATTTTTTTTATTTTCTAAGATTTTATTTCCTTCAATAAAGTTGTACCATTTTGTCTTTTCATTCCAATTATATTTAATGGTAATAAAAAGATTTAAGAGTTTCCTAAATTATTAGGAATAAAGGACATTCGTTTGATTAAATCCAACAGCTACACTTAAAAGTGAGCATACTACTCTCTGCTCACAGGGAACAATTGAACACTACTCTGTGTGTGTGTATATATGTATATATATATTGTGTAACTTTAATTGGAGAATTACATAGATTATTTGTAGATATATATACAATTATAATTTTTTTTCCTAGTTGGTACTCACACATACTTGTCTCTTCTGATATTTGAACCCTGACCTCCTTTTGGGAAGTAAGAGGCTGATACTGCTAGGCCACTGGCCCGTTGGTATTTAAAATTTTCTTTCAGATCTTTTAATTTTTTATTGTAATTTTTTACATATTTATTTTATTTTATTTTTAAAAATTTATAGATCTTTTTAGTGATAGTATAAAGATATTTTTAGAACTAACAAATCCTTACCAGATGAAAGATAAAATGAGTGAGCAAGTTTTTTAAGGATATAAGCATGTGCATAAATGTATCAGGTGATATTCTAATGTAATTTAATTTGAAATTGATTTTTAATAAATTTTAGTTATGTATTTATTTTATATATAGGCCATTAAGTAAAGATGGAAAAAAACAAAGCGAATTTTTATTTATTTTTAGATAAACATAGTTGATTATTTGAATTAGAATTTTTTTTAATGAATTGATGATGTCATGGTTATTAATTAATTATATTTACTAAGTTTTTTTTTTTTTGGTTATTGTGCTAGCTTCAATTTGCATAAAATGATAATTTATTTTATAATTCGTAATATTTTATTTATTTATTTTTGTTACCCAACTATTGACCATAGAGGGAGGTGAATAGGGTCATTAGCAAATTATGAAACTTTTTCAGTTTAGCTTCTCTAAACTCCTTTTACTTGTCTCTTTACTTTAGAGCCAAATATGATTCATTGTGATGAATGCTCTTCTAATGAGTTGTAATGTAGATATCACTTAATATTCAGAATATAAAATAATGAGCTTACTACACTTGAGTATATTGTTTTAGCAAATGACCAATTCATTTTATACATTGAATCATGAGAATTAGTCATGCAATTAAGTGTGATCATCATTGATTCAAATAAATGAATTCCTTTAAGCTTCAATGCATTCAATTCAATAAACTATTTAGAATTAGTATTTGCATAATATTGATGTGAATAATATTCAAGGTGCAAATGTCATGAAACACATTATCATATAGTTTATAACAAATTTATCAAATACTTGATGTACATATAAACTCTAAATGTGAAGGTTGTGTTGAATATACATTTTGTCAAACACTTGATGTGCAACATGATTTTATCTATATAGGAATCAAATATAGAACATATAGTCTGAGCTAAAATCAATCACGCACTCAACTTAATCTAAGCATTCATCCCATCCTCCTCATACAATCAATTAAACTTAACATACTAGTTAATTGATTTATATAACTCATTCTACTCAAAATAAACTAAACATTTGATATATAAAGATTGAGTAAATAAAGATGCAATCAAATGTAAAGAGAGTAGAGATTATATAGTAGAGAAATTACAAACCAAATGACACATGATGTACATGGTTCGGCACAACCTCGGCCTACATCCATGCCTTGAGAAAACTTCTCAAGGATTCCACTACGGCACCTCCTTACGGGTGGAGAACAAACCTTTACATGTTCTTGCTTGCGGGTGAAGAACCAATCTTATAATGAAACCATCTCGCTTCTCCTTCTTTTGACGGCTAAGAAGAAACCATTGCTCACTCTTACGGGTGGAGAGCTCTACCAAATCCTCCTCTCATTAGAGAGACATATTTTTTCTTTTATAGTTTGAGAAAGAGAACCCTTATAATAGCTTAAACAAGCTTTCCCTTGCCAAAAGAACATTTTAGTCTTCTTATCTCAAGAATAGATATATAATGAAGCTTATAATGAATGTCTCTCAAATAGACAAATATACAAATTAAAGCTCTCATACTTAGAGTTACAAATGAAATAATCAAATGAAAGCTCAACTCTAAGTTTGCAAGATGAATCACATGAATGATATGCAATTTGTATTTCAATGATGATTCCTAGAAGAGATTTATATCAAGAATGATAGTTAATTCCATGCCCAGTTAATTCCATCCCTAAAGGGAGGTCTCAATATGGCTTTCTTGCATTCCCACAATGTTCATACATTGTGTATTTATAGGCCCTTGGAAGAATATAGCTATTTGGGGGCAATATAGTAAGTTCTTATTAGGTCAAATGGTCAAAATAGCAGTTGGAAAGCTTCTGCTCATACATCTAACTGGTTACAAGGCTTAAACTACTCGAGTGGATGAGATTCAGATCTCATCTAACCGGTTAAAAGATCTGTTTAATCGGTTACATGAAGGTAAATGCCCGAAGTCATTTGTCTAATTTAGTTTAACTGATCGATTACTTTTTGTGAACTAACTGGTTACTTCATGCTAACTACTCGGTTAGATGCTCTATCTAAATGGTTACATAATGTGTTCTAGAGAACATCTTTCTCTGCCTCAATGCATTTAACCGGTTAGATAATTTGTTCTACTCAGTTACATGGTCATCAGATTTTGTTGATAGTTTTTCATACAGATTAACTGGACAGATTTTTTGCAAGACTTCTTACATACCTTATTTCCATTGAAAATATTTAAGTAACCATTAAATTTAAGTTTACAATGTATATAAGGAAGTACCCTCCATTTGGATTCAATAAAAAATGTAAAAAAATTGAAATCCAACTAAATCAAAATGTAAAAATTCAGTTTTAGTATAAATTGGGTTCCCGACAGTTTTGGTAAAACTTGATTCTTCGTGTAGACCAATGTAGAATGGATAATAAATTATCATAAAGTCACATTAGGCTATTTGAAGTGTAATGAGTAATTACCGGAAAAAATTATCTTGAAAAAATGTTTGCTTCAAAAATTCATTTTTCACACTTAACCAAAAACTTAGTTTTTCATGAAGCGCATACAAGGGTCCTAAAGTCCGTTACCAAGTCATGGTAATAAAGGCTTGATATGCCTTAACCTCTACTTTCTAATGACTAATATGAATCATGTGATTAATGTGCATGGTCCTAGTATTTTAGCACAAATGTTAAGTCATTTCAAAGCTTAAGCAAGTGATAAGCGCTGAAAAGTGCGCATTTAAACCCCTTAATCTTGAATATTCTATGACCTTATTCTATTTTATTTTTCCATTTTAGTCTAATTTCATCTTATTCCCCTTTTCAAGCACTTATTCCTAAAACATGTCAAATCAGCTGCATTAGAGCATTGGAGAAAGCAATCTAAAGTCTTGTGGAAGAAAGGAGCAAAGTGGAAGCAAAGTGTGAAAAAGTCATCTCCGATCGATAGAACCAAGCTATGATCGATCGCATTGCGATCATTCTAACCCTTCCATGATGGATCGAACCCTTGTCCTTATCCTCAAGAAAATTTCTTATTCGATGGATCCAACATTTCATTCGATCGATCGAACCTTTTGATCTTATCCTCATAACCACTTTTGTCCTTTTCCTAAAAATATCTCAGCCCTTGTCCTTATCCAAATAATTGCGCCACCTTACTTCGATCAATCAAAGCAACCATGTGATCGATCGAACTGCCTCAAAATGCGTGCAAAACAGATTTCAAGCCAAATTGAAGGTGTGCTCGTGATGCAATCATTTGGAAGTCGTAGTGCATGAGGTCTGACCATTAGACGTGACATTTGAGCTACCTATATAAGGAATTTGGTTATTTTTAGTAAAGAGGTCGGTTAGTTAAAGAGAGAATTGGCTAGAGATAAAAGAGAGAAATACATTTTGGGAAAGTTCTTCCATTCTTCTAGGGTTTCTACTAAGAACACCAAAGGAGAATGATGAATTTAACCATGGAGAGATCCCTTAAGGGTTGGATGACAACAACCATGAGTGGCTAGACTATTCTCTTGGGGCTAGAGATAGCCCTAAGCATGCCTCCTAGACTTTGATGTTTGTACTTAATGGAGATTTGTGTTGTAATTCTTATTTTGACCTCATATATATATATATATATATATATATATATATATATATATATATATATATATATATCTTGTTTCTATATAATTTGTGTAGCTTAATACTTCCAAT